ACACAGCTGTAACAATGTGTATCCCCCACCAGCAAGGTGATTGTTCTAGTTACTCCGGTCTTTGGCAACACTGATGCCCTGAGTCCTTGCCGTTCTAGCCACTCACCTGCATGGGGTCTCAGGAAGCCCTTCTTCCCAGTGCACGCTCTGGTGGGCAGGACCGCAGCGTAAATGTTGTGTATCTTGCACACCACCAAGTATGACGGGCACATACAGCTCCTGGCTGGGTCAGTCCCTGGCTCATGGACTGAGGAGAGAAGGCTCCCCTCCTGAGGCGATTATCCACACTCCTCAGCATCCCCCAGAGAGCCTGCAGGGAGTTGGGATTACTGCACCCGCCAGGCCGGTGAGGACAGCAGGACAGCAGGACAGCAAGCGCGTATCTGAATAAGCTTGCAGGAGGGACAGTGGATTAGGGGCTCAGAGCCCTGAGGAGGGGTCCTTGTGTGCCGTGCTGTCCCTCTGAGTAAGGGCAGTGAGGCTGGTCCTGGGAGCAGGAAGTCGGGAACCAACCGCCGCTGCCGGGGTGAAGGCACGTCTTGAGTCTCGATGCAATGCTGCTAGAAAGAGGGAACAGGAAGGAGAGAGTGCCCGCCCCTCTCCTAGTGTGGCAATCTCCTACTGGCAGAGCCTGGCAGAGCCACCTGGCAAAGGAGCAGTGGAATCCACAGGGCCCTGTCCCCTCACCAGAAAGCACAGAGCACAGGGAAGAGCTCGGAGAGGAAAGCTCACTAGTGGGCACCTGGAGAGACCTAGTTTCTGTGCCTCATTCATGGCACCCACCTCCCTACACAGGACCCCCAGGCCCTGCAGGGTCCTTCCAAGGGTGCCACCGGACATCACCGAGGAAGGTGCCCCCTCCCACCCTGCCTCCTGTGCCCCCGGCAGGCAGGGCCCATCTTTTTCCCTCCAGCCAAGCTCGGACACCATCTGCCCATTCAGTGTCTGCTTTCGAGACACTGATTTCTCTTCTGATGCCTCTCCTCCTGACCTCTTTGTCCTTGGGGACATTGCTGGGTTTCTCTGCCCTTCCTGTCCCTTTACTGGGATTTGAGGAGAGTGCAGAGATAAGTGTGTGTGGGTTCGAGAGCTAGGCTCACCCGGAAACCCTCCAATGGCAGGGTGATGTCCAGGCTGGCCCAGCCTGGGGACTGTGATTGGGGGGGGCCTTCCTCCTCAGGGGGCTTTTAGGCAGGAAGGGAGCAGGAGGGGTCCCGGGGGGCCCTGTTCTCCTTGGCGGCCACTCGAAGTACAAAGGTGCATTCTTACCTAAGTCACAACTCCCTTGTTTACGGGGAGCCTGAGGCCCAGAGGACAGAGCTGTCCCCTGCATGTCACAGCTAGTCAGTGGCACCTGAAAAATGACAGGGTCGTGGACGTGGCCAGGGAGTAATGAGGTGTGGGCGTGGCCAGGGAGAAGTCCAATTCTGTGGGACCTGGTTGCCTTCCACTTTGGAGTATTTCCACTCACTGCTGCAAGATTTTGTTAATTCACTAAATGCGACTTATGCAATACAAAATGCATTGTAATTTTCCTTGCTTTCCTCCAAGAATACATCGAAACCGTAGCCTCATCCCTCTTTTGAATGCTAATTATGCGCTAGTGCTGTGCCCACCCATGCGTGTGTGTGCATGTGTGTGTGTGTCTGTGTGTGTGGAGGAAGAGAAAGGTTCTGGAAGAGGTGTAACTAGACCCCGAAGCGGCAGTCCAAGCCCCCCACTTCAGAAGGCTGGGGGATGGCAGTTCTCTATTGGGTCCTCGCTCTCGTGTTGTTCTTCCAAAGGCCCTGCCCTCCCTCAGCCCTGCCTGGCCCCCTTCTCTCTCACCCCACCCCACCCCACCCCATCCCAGGTTCTCCCACTTTCTGTCTGCCCTCCTGCCTTTGCCCACGGTGGTCTCTCCCAAAGCCCTCTTTCCTCTCTCCTTCCCTCCCTGGGTAACTGCCGCTCCTGCTTGAGTAAACTCCCAGGGCCTGCAGGGTCTGCACACAGGGAGGCAGGTCACCGCCACCTCTCAGGGGACCCATGTGCCCTTCCTCCTGGCACTGACCCCACACAACAGCAAGACCCACCCCGAGTCCTGAGCTCGGGAGAGCAGGGACCGCTGGGCGTGAACCCTTGCACTGAGCCTGGGCCAAGCCGGCCCTGTGCAAACCCTCGGGGAACCAGCGGAAGAAAATGAGGAGAAGGTGTAATTCATCACATTAATGCTGCACTTCCTCCGTCGGAGCCCGCCTTTCAGAGCATATTTAATTTCTCATCTGTTTTTTCAAAAATTAAAAGTGTTATTACAAAAATTTACTTGGGCCTCTGTTATTTCCTCTAGGTGGACTATTTGGGTATTTTAGCACAAAAATAACTCTTTCAGTGAGGGATAAACAGAGCCATTAGGTAAAATTAATTGGAGTAATTAAGAGCAAATTGTTTTCCTGGGAAAACCCCATTGTCAGAGCTGGTGCAGCGGGGCTGCGGGGAGCCGGCCGGGGCTTCCTGCCTTGGCTCTCCGCTTTGTTCCAAGGCTGCTGGTGGTTCTCACTGGTAGCTGCGGCTAGTGGCGGTGACACGTTAATTGAACCTCACTACTTCCAGGTGTGTGGCACACTCCGGGGTCGCCAGTGCAGGGGGGTGCCATGTGTGTTCAATTACCGCTGCGATACGAAGGAATGCAACCTGTCACACGTTCAAGTGTCAATTACCACCCCGGACCGGCTGCCCGCAAACCAAACCCATCAGCCCCTTCCCTGCGGAGCACGTGGTTGTTTGGGCTGGAAACGCTGCAAACCAAGTGTGCGTGAGCGGCCGTCTCTGGGAGGAAACCGGACTGGGAGGGGAAGGGCCCGAGGGTTGATAAATCCTTCTGGAAAATGCAGGAAATGTGCTGCCATTTGTCTCGAGATCGCGCCGTGGGGTGTGACCGGCCATGGGCGCGGCATCAGGAAGGCCCGCGGGCCGCAGAGCCCGGTTCCGGGACCCCGGCCGCTGCTGGGGGCCAGGGATGCGAGTTACTGTACGTGGCCAGCGGGCACCCTGTTCATGTTAAATGTTTGCACTTAGCCTTTATATGTATAAAGTGAAGAAATGTCCACTTTCCCGAAAGTTTTGGTTCTAACCTATTCATCTAAAATCATGATCGAAACATGCAATTGATTTATGGAAGAAAAGCTTTTTTAAAATATATTTTATTTATTTATTTTTAGAGAGAGGGGAGGGGAAGGGAAGGAGAAAGAGCCGGAGAGAAACATCAGTGCGTGGTTGCCTCTCGTGCGCCCCCTACTGGGGACCTGGCCTGCAACACAGGTATGTGCCCTGACTGGGAATTGAACCAGCAACCCTTTGCTTTACAGGCCCATGCTCAATCCACTGAGCTACACCAGCCAAGGCAAGAAAAAGCTTTTTAAAAACAAGGTTTCCGGCCTGGTCGCCTGTCATACCTGTAACTGAGCCTTTTCAAACCCTCTGGGCTCGTTCAGACGAATATGAGGCTGCGACACCCTGTGGCTGCCCCAGGAGTCCTTCTTCAGAGGAATTTTTCTTTCCTTCCTTCCTTTTTAAAGAAGGCATTTTTCTTAGAAGCCAGGAATGGTTGTTATAATTAGTATTTATTATACCGTCTTCCTTCCCCAAACTCTCAGTGATCAATCATGGCCGCCCGCCTCCAGCCCTGCCTGGCATGGGATAAATATTATCCCCCTTTCTCGCAGCACCAAAAGGGGATGAGCAGTCCCCTTCAAGGTCCCTACACATGATTCTGTATTGGAAACCACAGTCGCTGAAGTCCCGCTATTGCGTAGACAAGACGGCCGGCAGTGGCTCTGCTCCTTCGCTCTCCAGCTGGGGTTCTGTAGCCTTGTTCCCGGGGTTGACCTTGGCCTCCCTTTGCCAGTCAGCAGATGCTGGTTAAATACCTGTTTTTTAAGTGTGTTAATTGTAGGGATACGATTCTTTGGTTGACAGAAGACAGATTGAATTCCAAACCTCAAAACCCCACTGAACTCTTATTACTGGGAAAAGCCGTCGCTGTTGGTACAAGTTAATTTCCTGCCCATTTCTCTTCCTTTCCTCTCTTTCTGTGTCTCTGACTTTCCCAAGGCCTCTTGCCTGTGCAGTTGCCTTCTCCTCCAGAATGTGGACCTTGGCTGCTGAACATGTTGAACCGGGCGAGACTGCTGATATGCAGCCATTTTTTACTTCCATCCCAGGCAATTCCACGCAGTTCAGCTTAACAAAGGGCTGCTGCTAAGGCTCAGGGTTTCTGCAGCTGCGATCAGACCGTACTGCCTGGGACCTGGGAAGGATTCTGAAGACGGCCCGATGCTGCACAGCTAAGGCGGGTGCCCCTGTTTTTGTTTTTAAAGTTATGATCTCCTTGCCTCTGGACTGAACTGATGACTTGCTCAGGGAGCCCTCGGTTGGGACCTTTTAACAGGAGCTACCATCTTCTCCGTTTTTCTGGGACAGTGAGCAGGGCCTGGTCTAGAAGGAGCATAGACTTGGGACTTCCTCCAATGGGCACAAATAAGACTAGATCCCTGTTGTGAAGCAGCCTGCGTCAGAGAGAGAGAGAGGGGGCGAGCAGGTGGGCCCAGGGTGGCCCGTGTGCCTGTTCAACCCACAGTAGTCTGACCAGATTTTCATCATTACACAACAGTGACACTTTTCTGTGTGGCCACATCTGTAATAATTAATTAATTTTTATTTAATTATTTTTAAGGGGGGGAGAAAGAGAGGGAAACATCAATGTACATGAGAAAGATTGATTGGCTGCCTCTCACATGCCCCCATCCAGGGACCTGGCCTGCAACCCAGGCATGGGCCCTGACTGGGAATTGAACCACTGACCGTTCTGCCCTCAGCCCAGCACCCAATCCACTGAGCAACAACAGGCAGGGCAGTATTGATTTCTTTAAAATAGCACATAGCAAAGAAGAGACAGTGTTCTGATGCTCTGCCCTTGATTAAGTTTCCTTGCTGAGTTGGAGCAGCTAAATGTGACTCAGGCCCAGTCACAAAGCGGCTGGGCGCAGGGCTTTCTGGACTGTCCTGCGGGGGTCACGCAGAGTCCAGTGAGGTGAGCTGTCCTGGGGCCTGCTGGCCGCGTCCCCCCAGGGAGCAGGGAGAGAGAGAGCAAGCTCTCCGGTGAGTCTTCTTGGAAGGGCACTCACCCCATTTGCGGGGCTCCACCCTCATGACCTCCCGACCTCCCAGGGGGCCTGCCTCCAATCCCATCACCTCGGGGATGAGGACTTCAACATGGGGATGTTGTGAGGACACAGATATTCTGTCTACAGCATCACGTTAACCAGGCAGTTCAATGGCACCCACTGAGTGGACTTAATAACAATCCTGGCCTCTGTCTGTCACCTGGGCTCAATTCAGAAGCATTCTCCCTTTATTCTTTGGCTTGTGCATCTTTCAAGTGACCTGTCTGGGTCCAGGTCCTCTAGGAAGCAGAGCCTGAGGCAAGGGGACCAAAGTGAGGAGGATGGCAGGCAATGCAATGGGCCACCAAGACAGAACTAGCTGCTCCGCAGTGTGCACAGCAGGCCACCAAGACAGAACTAGCTGCTCTGCCCGCAGGGTGCTCTCCTGCTTCAGGGGTGTGGCTGTGCCTGCGACTAGTCCATTGGTGGAAAAAAGAGAGACATTCACCTCCCTGGCTTCCTCCAGGCTCCTGCCTCCTCCTGACCACCCTGTGGGGAGTTAACTGCCCTGGACAATCGATTGTCTTATCCAGCTTCTTCCCGGGCAGGCAGAAGTCAGCCCCACGCCCTGCGGTGTGCATTTCATCCTTCTCCGGTGAGTCCATAGTTGGCAGGAGGAGCTGGAACCCCGGGACACCGAGAGGACTGGGCCCCATGAAGTCAGTCCGCACCCCAAGGCTGAGGCTGCAGCCCAGGGTCCAGGAGGAAGGTGAGGCTGAGAGCATCTGAGGGACACATTAGGCGTGTCCAGTGCACGAGCCCGCTCACATGGTAATTAATAAATGTTATTAATGCCTCCACAGCTTCGGGCCTGCGAGGACCAGCCGGAGCAGGGACGTTAAGGACACAGGTCATCAGGGGGGTCCTGCAAGACGAGACACCTGAGGCTGCGGAGAGGCGCAGCGGGGCCCAGGCGAGGGGAAGGTATGTTTTCAGAAATGCCGGCGACATTCGCGTTTATGAACTCTCGTTAGCTTTATGCGTTTGGAGGCTCAGCAGTATCAGCGTGTTATTTGGCTCCAGTTCCATCACCGACGTGAGGGCCGTTCCAGATGTGACTTCCTCAGCAGCCGAGCCCAGAGATCTGCCAAGGACTTACCACAGCGGGGCTGTGGCCTTCATTTGGAACTCACCGTGGCCCTGGGGTGTGTTTACGACCCCACGTCATGGCAGAAGATACTGTGTTGAGGCAGCTCAGGTGATTCGCTCCAGGTCGTACAGCTTTCGGGGAACACGGCTGGGATTTCTCCTGAAGGTTTCTGACTCCCGGTTCATGGCATTTGCTTGGCTGCAGGGTCCAAGGCAGTGAGCACGGGGGCCGTGGCTGCCCCTTGCGAGGGTGCCGTGAGCAAGGCGCCTACGACTCGACACCTTCCGCAGGGAGCTCCAAGGGCTGACGAGCCCGCTGTCACCCACAGGTGACCTGGAGAATAAATGGTTTAATACCAGAAAGGACTCCGGTCTGCATGTGAGGTTTTTTTCTTTTTAACGATTTTTATTTATTTATTTATTTATTTTAGAGCCAGGGGAAGAAGAGAGAAAGAGAAACATCAGTATACGAGGAAACATCAATCAGCTGCCTCTCACATGCCCCCACCAGGGATTGAATCCAAAACCCAGTCATGTGCCCTGGCTGGGAATCGAACCAGTGACCTGCCAGTTTGCAGCCTGCTGAGCCACACCAGCCGGAGCACCTGACTTTTCTTTAGTAGATTCGCTGTCCCCCTGAGGCTGCATCTGAGTCAGTGTCCAATGGAACCGGCACATTGGGGTTGGGCCACCAGGTTTGCTTGGTGGAGGTGACAGAAGGTGAAGGCGAGTGTGGGGTGAAGGGCAGTACGGGGACGGGAAAACTTACTGGACCCCCAGAGCCGGGCAGGGACCAGCCTGGAGGTGGATGAGGCAGGACGCGCCGGGGGCGGCCATCTGTGAGGTCTGTTCCGTGACTGGGGAGGTCACCTGGGGGTGGAGAGCAGGGTCCGGCTGACAGGATTGCTAAGACCCCAAGAGCCTCTGCGGGGCAGAGGGGGGCACCTGCAAACCTGTGGCAAGGCTGAGTCCCAGGCAGGCAGAGAGGGGACGAGTGAGGGGTTCGGGGGATTCACAAGTAGTGTGAAGACCTCTTTTCGAAACGTCGTCCTGGCGTGGGTGCCTCCCAGCTTCACAGGCTGGAGGATGAGTCTGAATGTGGGTCAGAAGGCGCCGGACGGGAGGCCCTTGTCGAATCAGGAGGGAGATGCGCTTTGCAAAGAAGGTCTCTGTGCTGGCAGTTTGGGAAACCAACCCAATCCGAGGAGTCAAAGCACTTCACGCAAGCACGCACCCACGCCATTGCCTTTTTAAAGACCAGTTTGCCCAACCCTTGCCTGACCCAGATTTGTTTTGCCCTAAGAACGAGAGCAGAAGTTCTCACATCAACCACAGCACGGAGAGCAGGGGTTCCAGCCCAGGCCGTCCACGGGCGTTTGAATGTCGCTCCCGAATCCTCTGAGTCTCCTGGGGGCTTGGGCAGAAGAGGGGAATGGGACCGCGACGGGAGGTGGTTACCCCGCTTTATCCCCTGCCCGGGGCACGGCCCGCGTCCCAAACCCTGGATTCCGCTTGCACCCTGCTTCTCCTCTTTCTTCCTTCCCCAGAAGCTGCCGTGGACGCATCCCCATCACCCCGGGCTGGCTCGGGGTCAAGCCGGGGGTTGGAAAACCCTCCTTTCTGAGTCGCAGAGGCCTTTCCTTGGAGCCCCTCCCCCTCGGCAAATAAAACTGGGGCATGGAGATCATTACGCCTCACGTTATTAGGCAAAATTGGATTAATTAACCTCGTCTGGCCTCTCAGCTTGAGAGACAGAAAAAACGGGGTCAACTGCAAATGCAGCATTTTGAAAATGTCAGCCATGACTAGGTGATAAATATTTATAAATATATACGCCTCATATCAACAGGGTGGCCAGTGTATTTTTACATGTGAGTACACAAAGGCTCTCTGTTGTTAACACGCATTCAAAGCAGCGGCCTTGAAAGGGCCGTTATGGCTTGTGCTACGAATGTTTATTAAGAATAATATGCAAAACGGGGCTCCGGCTGAATGGGCCCATTGACGGGGTATCAGAGCGGCCAGGGCCGGGAGGGCGGATGGTCAGGAATGATAATAACGTTCCTATAACTGGCCCAGGCTGAGGCCCGATGCAGTGGTGGGATGTGTCACCGGCCCTGGCCACTCCCGGTTGCGGGTGTTTGTTTTGGAAACGTTGACTTAGGACTTGAGCTTGTCATTAAACCATGGCACTTAAGGCCAGAGTCACAGAGCCGTGTTCAGGATTTCCCCCCTCGAACCGAGTGCCAAGTCGAAACTGGAGTTTCAGATGTGTGCTCTCCGCTGCATCCTCCGTGCCCCCCCACACCCGGAGCAGGAGACACTTCCTGGGGGGGTTTTCCACATCGGTCCCTTCCCAGCCTCTCCCCTGCTTTTCTTAGTAGAGACTTTTCAGCTTCATTTCTTCTGGGCATCTCGGGATCTCCTCCTTGTCTCAGAGGACTTTTCATTCATTTATTCAACCAACATTTTTGAGTACCTGTTACCGAACAGGGGGTTGAGGGGGGTTGACCCCACGGCGGAACGGCCCCAAAAAAAAACATACGGCGCCGGAACTCTAAAAAAAAATGACCACCACAAAGCCCCCCCCCCCCCTAAAAAGAAAACGGCCCGCCCCCAACACACCTCCAAAGGGGGCTAAACTAGTTAAAGGTTATAGAATTTAAATAACCATTCCTCCAGTCTAAGCTCTCAATGGCTGGTCTCTTTTTTCCCGGGGGGGGGCTTTTTCCTCCCTACCTACCATGTGCCTGACATACCAAGTGCTGGGGCCACAGTGAGGGGTCAGTTAGACTTGGTTCCTACTAACTCTCCGGGGAAGAGACATAAAGAAAAAGAAAGCGAGGTTGACAAAAACAAGAATGACTTCAGAGAGGGATACGTCCTTCAAAGTCAAGCAGGTCCACATGGTTGGGGTCGGTCAGGGTGGGGGCGTGTCCAGGGGAGTGTTTCCGGAGGGGGAGTCCAGAAGTGTCTTTAGGATGACCAGTGGGTTGAGAGCTAATGGTGTGAAGGAGCCAGCCCCCCCCCCCCGCTGCCCAGTGGACGCCTGAGGCTGGAAGAAACTTCCAGGCAGAAAGAAGAATGAGGGCAGAGGGCCAATGAACTATGAACTTGGTGTGTTCAACGATCAGAGAGGTAGAGAGCTTAGAGTGGCAGGAGCCAGACAGCAAGGGGCCCGTGGCTGGGGTGCCAGGGAACCCCGCACCAGGTGTTAGTCTTGGGAAATGGGAAGTGGCTCCGGGAAGGCGGGCCCCTTCCAGCCTGGACTCACTCGCCTGCCATTACCAAGAGCACCTGGGGAGGCCAGGAGACGCTTTTCAGGCTGTTGATACACCCTCCCCCCCCCCCCCCCGTTGATTGGTTAACTTTAGGAACATCTGGGAGAACATCATGGTCCCAGACTTCTGGGTATTTCCGCCCACTCTGTATTTGAGTTTGAGCTTAACTCTGTCCTGCCATTTTTCATCGCAGAGCTTGACAGATCCCTCTCGATTTGATCCCAGTTCTCCTGGAGGGCCCCAGGGTGACTTGTGTCCCCTTAGACTCTCCTTGGCTCCCTTATCATTCAGCGTGGTTGAAAGAGAAAATTTAAAGACTCAACTCTGTTGATTATTCCAAGAATAGTTGACATCACGATCAATACATCCAGACAGAAGCTATTAACATTTTAATGAGTTGCTCAGTGATATTCCCGCAATGTGCCAATGAGTCATGGCCCCTTTGATTAAGGATATGCTGGGGGACAACTGTAAATACATGTAAGAAAGGCCCCAAATGGGGAGCTGTCACACATCAGTCCTGGGGAGAAGAGTGAGCATTCATGAATAAAGAAGCTCTCAAGGTGACCGTCCCTGGGATACGCAGTTTACTGAAAGAGAAGTTAACCTTTTCAGATGCCACTGGTCGCCACTACATGACAGGCTGAGATGTCTACCTTCATTGGTGGTCAGGTGCGTGTGTTGGGGGTGGAGCGGCCCTGCCGAGGATAAGGGGGAGCAGGAGAGTCCGCACATCTCCCTTCCACATTCAAACTCGGGAGAGCACCTCGAGGGCGGGAGGAAGCTTCGGAGGGGACAGCAAATCCAGAAAAGGGGGACGTTATTGGGAGAGGAGACTGGGCATCTCTGAGGAGAGGGGCAGGGAGAGGGGCCCGCAGACGGATGAGTATCCACATGGTTCCAGTCCGGCCTGCTGAGTGCTTTGTCATGGAGACCCTTTTGTGACCTCTCTGTCCCCCCTTTGAACTCCCTAGAATTCCCCGAGGTCTCTCTTGGTCCGACTGAGCTCCAGACTGCTGTCCTATGAAGCCCAACTTCCCCTGAGCAGGGTCGGATGGTGATGCTGGCCCATCCCTGGGACTTTGGTCCCTGGAGGGCAAACTTGATTCTGTGTTTGTGCCAAGGGGCAAAGAACCCCTCATTTGTAAACTCAGGGCAAGGGGGTATCACAGACCCAGCTTCCCTTGTGGCGAGATGGAGGGCCCGTGATTTGCTCTTGGGCTTGACTTGGGCTTGGGGGTAGGGGTGGGAGACTCGGGAGAGGACAGAGCATCAGTGATAGTAATCACTGTGTAAAACTCCTAAGGATGAGCCGTTTGATTCATGGACCAGAGCTTGTGAGACTGTGGGCTTCAGAAGCTTGAATCCAGGGCGGGGAAAAATTTGGCAAATGGGGTGCGGTAGGGTTGAGGCAGAACCGAGGAAAGCATCCAAAAACATGAATGCAGGGCTGTAGAGGTGGGAGGAGGGGGCAGTCGGGTGGAGGAGGGCTGAAGCTGGAGTCAGTGAACCAGACTGCTGTGTTTGCTCACCATGGAGCCTGTGGGTGCCAGGGAAATGCACGTCAGAGTGGACCCAGGGTCTTCCATCCAGCTGGCCGTTTCACTTTCACTTTTCTTTACTGGAAATGGGCTGACTTTGAAGTCTGAATGGCTGAGTACAACTCAGCACACCTGTCGACTAGCTGTGGCTTTACCTGTCTGCATCACAAGGGTTGGCCCTGGGAGCGTGTGACTGATGAGGCTGTTCCAGAATAATAATGCAAATCAAATGAGAGGATGCATATAAGACACTCACCGCAGTCTGCTGTGAGGTGGAAAAATGCCGTCTAGCGTGGCTGTCTGCGCAGGGCTGCTTCTTTCTCTAGCTGATGAGAGCGAACACAACTTATTACACACAGGAAAGGGAAGGACGGCTGCCCCGCAACAGCCGCTGGATGGTCACTCAGGCGGAGACCAACAGGGCTGGTGGGCAGGCGGCCTGGCCTCTGTGCCTCCGTGTCTGTGATAAGAGGTC